GGTTATTAACAAATTGCAACTATTAATCTCTCTTGACACCTGGAAATTATCTAAGGAAGATGTTAAACATATTTCCTCATTTGTTAATTTAGTAACAGATATTACACAATTCTCGATTGATGGAGCATTTTTTAAACATATTCCAAGTTTGAAATTAAAGTTATAGTCTGTTTCACACAACATACAACCAATCTGTGTCTCAGTGTAATTTTCAGTTAAATCTTCAAGTTCAATACTAATGTCAAAATAAGAATGATAGCGTTTGAATTCAAAACAATATAGGCAATTTTCCAATGTGCATAACTTACACTCTCTAGAATATGATGCATAATATGGTGGTAAACATGATGCATAAGTAAAAGTTCCCTACGTTTACATTTACCATTAACAAGTTCACTTTAATCATCACATATTAAACAAAGCAAATCATCATTTATTGTTAAACCACAACTTAAACAATACTAGATTTAGCAATCATAACATAAATGTTAATCATACATACTGGATTCTCTTTGATTACAAAAAGAAAGGAAAATTTAAGAGCTGTATCTAAAATGTTAATACAAATGAAACTCATCTTGAATACTAATGCCAATACTGTCAGAAAAAGGAATATAAGTAGAGATTAGATCAGAAGAATCATAAAAATAAAAATTATTGATCTCAGGTACATGATATTAACCATATATTTAAGTTAATTCTAAAATATCTCTGCAATTTGGAGCTTGGCTCCACTTACCTACATTTTAAAAACATTCAACGCATATTAACAAATCTTTGTAGACTCCTTAAGGGCTAAACAATAATACAGAATATATTTACCATTTCATACAATCTCCGTTAAATTCAAATCAACCTACTTTACAATATAAATTTTTTGTTTATTTGACATTAAACTAAAGATTTAACTATAGTTTTTAATCCATATAATCTATGCATTCATTATTATAATCAATTGTGCCGTATGTACAAGCACATTATTTAAATTCTGGAATATATATTCTTTTTTATTCTTCAGAACAAGTTAAGCAATGATACTTAGTGGGGCCATCACATTCTTAACAGCTTTAATGGCATTTGTCTTATTTTAAATCTTAAATACAATTGATAAATAGTAAATCTCGAACAATTACATCTAAATAATCTGATTGTTTTTATTAAATGTTTCCATAAGTGAATTTTAATTAATAATTATGGAATTATTTAACATCAATCGAAGTTTCATATGATTAAGTATTTTAAGCTTCATAAAATATAATAGAGAAATCTAATACTGTATCATGCAGATTTACATAAATATATTACCATGAAGTAATAGTATTTTATATAATTAATTCTCTTCTAATCATATAAGGATTATTTTCAAAGTCTTATGTAACAGAAGGAAAGTTGTATTTATAAGTTGTAATTATTATTTTATTTTTAGCATTCGAAATCTGATAAAACAACTGAAATGTTGCTAGATTTTCATTTTGCATTCCATCTGCATTCGCACTTATTTTCATGAACTAATAAATAAATTCTTCAGAAGATTGATGAATTTGTGATATCTATAGCCATCCAGCGAGTGTGTATGAATTGCAATTGATATTCTGCAAAACAATAATCTATTTATTTAAAAATAGTAAATGAACATTGCTCTTTTCAATATCTACATTTGCAACACATTCACAATTTTTTATTTCTTAATAAAATTCAGTAATTTCCAACTAAAAATCAAAATATATTGGTATCCTCTTCATCTCATAGTTATATACAATTAATTAGCCTGGATAAAGTGAGAATATTCTTCCTTATTCAATCAAAGCAATATTTGAATTCTTTACTTTTAAACTCCCTCCAAATCTAAAGAATAATTATTAATTCTTATTAGGGAAAATAAGTTCGAGAGTTTCCTTAAATATCTAGTTTATTTAAAAATAAATTTTTAATTCTACACTTTTTTTCTAGATATTTGTGATAATTTAAAAAAAATACCAGAAATCTTCATATTCAGAAGGTTCTACTTGTATTGAAAATATAAACTAATCAGTCTAACTCAATCCTATTTAGATGAATTTTTTGATTTCTTTTGTGGTATCATAGACGCAATCATATTAAATAAAATTGAGACTTGAGGTAGCATAATCAAGAGAGTTTAGTATTTAAAAGCAGTTGCTGTCAAATGGCCCATAAGCGCCCTTCAATTTTGTATTACCTAATGGATTATATTTTGACCAAATTCCAAAGGTTAGACAATTCTAATCTGATTAGTCGACTTCAACTTATTCAACCATTTGGTAATCAATTAATGTTGATTTGCTTAAAACTTGATTCGATAAAGAATATTACCCTTAAGATAGGGTTATCATCAGAAGGATGAACATCATTAGAAAATTAATGAAAATTAATGAAAATAATTAATGAAAATTAATTAAGTAATAGATATGACAAGATAAAGAATTAAATTTAAAGTAATTTACATCTTCATCTTATAGTTATAAATATAATAGGATTTCAAATTTGCATTTTTAAATTGTATAAATCAATTTAAATCATAGCCATGTCTCCATAATTTCTTAAAAGGTAAACAATGACTCAATTTATAAAGGGTTTTAGTTTCAAATAATAATAGATTCTTATTTATTATTTTAGATTAATTCAAAATATAAATTGCAACAACATACTTGTGGAGACTTATTGGTTGTATAGAATGAATAATATGAAGATGGAATTATGATGCTGATGGGTGCATTGACTGCTATATTCGATGTTAAGACCAACTCACATTATGTCAATTGGGTTTTTGTCAAGAATTTAATGTTAAAAGATGGTAACTTATTGATGCAACATGTATATCAATATGTGGAGATAAATTAGTCTTAGGGTTAGAAGAATGTGATGATGGCAATTAGCTTCCATATGATGGTTGGTATGAATGCAAATTTTAATTTTCAGAGAATAATGTACTGAATGTTAGAATGGTGTTTGCAAAGCCTTTATTACTCCAGGGTGAGTTCTTGATCAATAAAACCGTTGCATTACTTTATGTGGATATGGGATCATTGTTGACCCTTTTGAATAGTGTGAAGATGGAAATGATAATCCAAGGAACAGTTGTTATTTGTGCGAATTTCAATGTTTAAAAAAGGTTGAATTGAGTGTATATTTTCACCTATTTATCTGAGACTCCAAATTTATTCATAATTAAATATGTATAGTGATTACAATAAAATATATTGTGATTATGCTAATTGTAGTTTTTGTGTTGAAATTGAGATCAAATTACATTGAGTATGCTTTAAATTTACAAAACTGCTGGCAATTATAATAAAGTACAATCAGAATTAGAAAGTTCAACACACATCAACATATCATTTAATAGAAATTTAACAAAATTATTGATATTAAATAATAATAAACTCAAAATTATTATTGATTGTTAATCTCAATAAAAGATGTCTTGCTATATGTATTTGATTTAAGAATAGGTCTTTTGGTAAAAGATCTTATAATAAATAAGAATATTACATTTCTTTTCCATTTCCATACTTACTTTATAAAATCAATTTCATTTTTTGAATATTCATTTATAATTTTTTTCTTTTTTCAAATTCTTAATCCACATAAATTCCAATGTTTTTAAACAAATTTATATTTGATTATTTCAGCACTGAATGGAGTTTCGTCAAAACTGGTAATTAATATTTTTTTGAATAAAGAATTAAAATGTCTTTAATAAAAGGAAAACTTAGTCGAATTAATAATAAAATCAAAATGATTTAAAGGAACATTGAAAAAAAATCATTTTGCAAAACCTAACTTTCATATTTGGTTGCTGCAAGAAAAATGGCTATTAAACAAATTTACCCTGATTATAAATCTAAGTTATTAAATTTCGAAATAATATAAGGTTTATTATTGATAGCTAAGACTTAGTATGCTTCTACACAAATGCCTAATAAAGTTGTCTTTAATAACACATTATTTTCAAAATTAGTTATTACTAGTATAATACAAGTCTTCTATATCAACTTAATCTATTCCCAAAAATATGTCTTTTCACTGTATTCATTAAATAAATAGCAGATATGTTTTCTAAATTTTATCTTATCTAGGTTAGATCTATTTCGAAACATCAATAAAAATAATGAAAATGGAATAATGCAGCCAAAAATTAGTAATAGTGGTATGATAAGAAATTAAACCCACAAGTAGTGTTCCTAGCTATCAAATAATAATGAAACATCCCCTTAAATGTAATCAATATTTGATATTTATCTAACAGACAATTTAGAACATAACCTAATTTATTAAATCTTTCTTACAATTTGATTAATCCCCCATAATTAAAAACATATAAGCAAAGTAGGGTATTCGAAATGATACTCCTATCCATTTATTTTGATGATAATTGAAAATAAATAAACGAAATGATAAGTATAAAATAGAATTGTAGCAGCATTAATAATAGTATAAAAATAATTTAAGCATAAATTAAATGTATTTATAAATTTGATAAATAACAATCTAAATTATTTACCATAAAATAAAAGCTATTACTTGATTATTCAATAAAGAAGATAGAAAATGAAAACTTTATGCTAAAAGTAAATATAGAAGAAAATATCCATAAGTAATTTAATAAAATCTTAATTAAAATACCTTCGTGATCTAATTATAAATTTAAATTACCTTAAATTAATTTAAATAGTATTTTGCTGAACCTTTTTTAAAAAACTGTAATTTAGTTGAATAAAGCATTTGATTTGTTGATACTTTTCAGTGATAAGGAAATTGATAATAAAGCTCTAAAGATAATAAAATTTTCTACTAAAATAAAGCAAATAAAAAAGGAAGGATGCTGCTCTCCTCATTTAAGCATGAAACACAATTTTAATTTTATTAATTTCTAAAAAACTACCCTTCTCCTTTTATATTATATAAATCACACATTTCGCATAGTGCACCAATGTGTCCTTAACTACAAGTGCTATCTCCAACTTACCATCCTCCTAAACAAAATTCTGTATTTTTGTAGCATTCCTCTGTGGCATCGGATAGGTAATTAGGTCTCCAATACCCCTTTTGCAAATTTATCATATTGGAAGTTACGTTTTAAAATTTAGTTTTATCAAAAATTGAACATTTAATTGCATCATAAGTTACGCTATAAAATCCTTGGTTAGATTTGCATGTCTAACAACCTTCTTCGATATAAAATTCTCCTAACTAACATTTAAAACTTGTTGCCTTAATGATATAATTAAGACCATTCTGTGATTATTGAGCCTTGCAAAAAATTTAAATTTCTAAGGAACGAGTCTCTTTTTAATATGGATCAAGTCGAAAAGATAAAGTATTTAGTTCAAAGTTATTATTCTCTATATTATACTGCAAGTGCTGAATTGAAGTAGATTACTATTTTTCTTCCTTCCCCTTTGTTACAATAAAATCTGCAACTTCACAGGTTGAATTGTACATGTTTTGGAGTATTTCTCCCTTGCTATTTTTGAAATAAATATTCAAACTTTTTATGTATGTTAAGTATATAGCCTTATTGACAAAAAATATTTAATACGTGTCGATTACTTAAGTACTGGGTATCATTAGTATTTCAGTTTACTTTTTAATCCCTTGTTCCATTACCAAGTATGGGCTAATTTTAAGAATGCTAGTTGATATATTATTCATCGTTGATTCTACTGCAGACATTGCTTTTTAATTAATGTATAATGACAAATAACTCGGGTTTTCAACTAGATTATTTCCATATACTTCAGCCTGATTGAAAAATATGAAAGTCTAAACTGAGGTTTTGGTTGAGAGATTATTATCCTAATCATAATAAATTCCTCCTCCTCCTTCTTGAGCTTTATTATAAATTATAACAGTTTTGGAGATTATAATTTTTTTAGATTTGAGTTGGATGTATAAACCTCCACCTTAAGTAAGGGCAATGTTAGAAATAATATTACAATGGATTAACTTTAATAGAATATTACTACTTTTTATTGCAACTCCTTAAGTTCCAAGATTTTAAATAAAATTTGAATGTTTGATTTCAACTAAATTTGAAGCATTTTAATTTCCTATCATATTCAAACATCCATATTTTTTGATAAGATTATATTGACAATCAAATCTAAAAATAAGAAATTTCTTAAAATTAATATCATCAAAATAGACAATTCCCTACTGAATAGAAGAATAATTATTATTTATAAATTTGATCCTATCGAAAAAAAAAACATCAAAGTTTGACGAGCTCCTAACATATAATATCGAGATTTGTTGTTGGTTTAATTATAAGAGCTATATTATATTACTGTAAAAGTAATTTCTCTATAAATGCGGAACTGAAAAATTCGATATAGAACAACCAGACATGAAGTAATTGGTTGATATATATACGTATTCTTAATTTGAGAAATTATTAGCAATATACATGGATCCTCTTTGAAAAGTTAAGGATCTTAAAGAAATTTAGTGCTTTTCTTATGCTGTCTAATTAATTACTATGAGATTTTATGAGTAAATATTCTAAATATTATTAAATGAACCATTGAAAAAGTTCAAAGTATTTATTAATAAATTTAAATTAAATTTGTTAATTTTAAATTTTAAAATAACAAAAAATAATTCCGATTTTCTTAGATAATATGTTATTTAAATTTATAACACTAGAAAAAAGCATCCCTTCAACAAAAAGATTTTCTATAGTAACATCGCAATTCTCCAAATATATCATTGCGTTATTGTTTTGAGTTATTTCTTGAATTTCAGATTCAGACAAAGCTCCAATATTCTAAAATAAATTTACCCAAGATTCTAAATTTTGATAAATCATTAAATCCATAAAAGATATTGAATTTTATTTATTGGCTTAGGTTATAAATTAAACTTTAACAATCTAATTTATTAAAGAAACACAATTAATTATTGACATATTTTAGAATAGCAATTTATTTTAAAGTAATGAAGGATTTATAGTTATTATGGAAGACGACATCCTATTAGGAATATTCTAAAATTTAGCATTCTGAATTTGAAGATTTAATAAACTATTTATCGCATTAACACTTAAGCATCCTGCACTTTCAATTTTTTCCTAAAGTGTATTTCTTATTTAGAAAACAGATAGATTTTACATCTTTATTATTCCATCGCTTGAAGAGACAATATCAAATACTGATATTTTTGCAGTCAGTATTTCCTCAAAAGATGAGTTGATACATATAAAATTAGAGGTTTAAATATATGCTGCACCTCCAATAGTTTTAATTTAAAATATTTACATAATTAGAGACTAAATCTAATCTTAACTCACTTAGATTAAATTATAATAATTATTCCAAATATTAAAAGGCAGAATATTATGATATTTTACCTAAATATTGATCATTTTCAAAGATTTTGACTCAACGTGAATAAATGAATTGGAGGAGTTTGTAATTGCATTATGTTTGCATTCTAAATTTTCTATATGAATTGTACTTGCTAAAGTGGAGAAGTATAATAATGCTGCTGAATCCTTTAAAGAATTTTCATTATAGACATGCATAATATTATTTTAAAATTTTGCATTTTTAATTAGAATATCGAGGTTTCTATCAGAAATTATTGTAAGAAGTGAAAAATATATTATTGAATTCAGCGATTGTAGGAGATTTCCATAAAACTCAATATTTATTATTGTTATTTAACCTTGTTATTCTTAGAAATATTAGCTACTAGACATAATTTTAATTAATGATTCATCTATACTTTATATATGCTTTATTTTAAAATCAGATATAGAAACTTTATTAAACCCATTTATTGATATTATTTGATTTTTAAAATTTGAATTTTAAAAGCAGTTTGTTGAGACTGATATTTTTTCTTCAATTTCAGAATTCTCAAAAATAAAGTTTTCTAGTTCTATATCCTGGCTTTCAAAGAAATAGAGAATGTAAACCTTTTTAGTTTAATATATAGAAAAGTTTTTCAAAATAATAGTTTTGCCATTGATTTTGAACAAATAGCTGACCTGATTTAGAGTAATTAATCCTTCATTAGATTCAATATGTATATTGTCTAGCCTTATGAAAAGATCACTTGATTAAAATTCAGAAAAAAATCGAAACAAATCTGAATTTTGGAATTTGTTATTCCTTATTATTAAGTTCATTAAATTACAAGAGGCTGTAAGAAAATTCAAACAATACTGAGTTAGTAAAATTACAATTAAATAAATGTAATTAATCGATTCTAATATTCCCAATTAAGTTAAATGCGTTAAAATTGAAGAGCGAAGAATTAATAAAGTTAGTATTGATTATAGTTATATTTTATAACTCTACGTAACCAAAGTTCTTTGTTTTAAATAAGGATTGAAAATTTTCAATTATACTATCCTTTATAGTAATGTTTATCAATGTGAAATTTACTTAATTATAACTATTACTGATATTAAGATCCTACATATTGAAGTGAGTGAAAACAATTCCATAGTCAATCATTGTAAAGGAATCGAAATCTTCGATGTAAAACGAATTCTAAAGTTGTAAGTAAAAGGGATAAGTTGCTAGAAGTTTAAAATGTATAATTTATAAAGTAAACACATCAAATTTCAAGGAAGCGCTTATTCTTATTGAAGGCATGAGATTACAATATTCATCTTCTATTTTTATCCTAATAATGATGGTCATAGAAACAACTCCAATACTATTCAAATATTCTGCTTGAAATATGAGGTTATCTAGGTTTTGTGGAAATCTATTAAAAAAACAATTGTCTTCAATAAATTCATAAGTTAGTTCATTATTGCAATCACCTTCGAAACAATATTAGGTGGTTTTTAAATAGGGGTTGTAATTAATAAAAGGATCTTAAAAAGGGAACAAACAACTCTTTGTATATTTGGATAAATAATATATGGGTAAAAGAAATGGTGCCATTTTCTAATTATCATCAATACATATTTACTTTTAATTCTAAAGTATCTCGTCGTATGCAATATTAACAAAGTGGAGAACAATATTAACACATGTAATTTATGTCATTTACCTATAACTCTCCTTCTGATAAATAGCATTCTTCACAATAATACTCTCCCAATGAGAGCTTGCAAGTTTTACAAAAACTTCCGCATGGATATAATTTATGGGGTTCTTAATAATTATAATTATAATAAATGTTCACTAAAAAACTTGTTACTTTCAAACTCCAGAATTCAATTTAATAGGAGGCACTTTATTCTTAACCTTCATAGCAGACTCCACCAAATAATATATAACCAGATTTACATGTTATGCAGGTTAACTTCTTATAGTAATCAAGAAAACAGATTTAACAATTGGTTATTAACAAATTGCAACTATTAATCTCTCTTGACACCTGGAAATTATCTAAGGAAGATGTTAAACATATTTCCTCATTTGTTAATTTAGTAACAGATATTACACAATTCTCGATTGATGAAGCATTTTTTAAACATATTCCAAGTTTGAAATTAAAGTTATAGTCTGTTTCACACAACATACAACCAATCTGTGTCTCAGTGTAATTTTCAGTTAAATCTTCAAGTTCAATACTAATGTCAAAATAAGAATAATAGCGTTTGAATTCAAAACAATATAGGCAATTTTCCAATGTGCATAACTTACACTCTCTAGAATATGATGCATAATATGGTGGTAAACATGATGCATAAGTAAAAGTTTCCCTACGTTTACATTTACCATTAACAAGTTCACTTTAATCATCACATATTAAACAAAGCAAATCATCATTTATTGTTAAACCACAACTTAAACAATACTAGATTTAGCAATCATAACATAAATGTTAATCATACATACTGGATTCTCTTTGATTACAAAAAGAAAGGAAAATTTAAGAGCTGTATCTAAAATGTTAATACAAATGAAACTCATCTTGAATACTAATGCCAATACTGTCAGAAAAAGGAATATAAGTAGAGATTAGATCAGAAGAATCATAAAAATAAAAATTATTGATCTCAGGTACATGATATTAACCATATATTTAAGTTAATTCTAAAATATCTCTGCAATTTGGAGCTTGGCTCCACTTACCTACATTTTAAAAACATTCAACGCATATTAACAAATCTTTGTAGACTCCTTAAGGGCTAAACAATAATACAGAATATATTTACCATTTCATACAATCTCCGTTAAATTCAAATTAACCTACTTTACAATGTAAATTTTTTGTTTATTTGACATTAAACTAAAGATTTAACTATAGTTTTTAATCCATATAATCTATGCATTCATTATTATAATCAATTGTGCCGTATGTACAAGCACATTATTTAAATTCTGGAATATATATTCTTTTTTATTCTTCAGAACAAGTTAAGCAATGATACTTAGTGGGGCCATCACATTCTTAACAGCTTTAATGGCATTTGTCTTATTTTAAATCTTAAATACAATTGATAAATAGTAAATTAATAATATTAATTTCAAATATTAAATTTGTAATGTAAAATAATTAAAAAATTGTTAGTAAATTCAAAAGCATCGATTTAGTTCGAAAGTCTGCTATGAGAGAGATTTCATAAATATCATAATGAAAAGGTAAAATAAACTAAAAATCCATTAAATCACAATAATTTGAAATTGATTATCGTAATATAATGTAGATTGTAATCTCTTGAGGATCTTACTCTTAAGTAAGTTAAAATTTTGAATTCATGATTATCAGCAAATCCAAACTATTAATTACGTCTAAGTAATAATTATATTTAGATATTTATTGTCGTTTATTTGAACATCTTTTATGGATATTTATCTAATCTAATTACATGTCTTATTTAAGATTCATAGATAATAATAGGTTTACTTCATCTGCACTTTTTAATTTACTTATGCTACGATTATACATAAATTATTTGGGCATTTATAGTTTATACCAAAAATAAATTTTTTAATTCATAATGATTTGTTCTTTATCTGATATTCCAGCAAAATTGAACTCAACTGGTTGCATATTATTTGAAGTTTGAGGGAAAGAAGATTTTCTAACAATTTAATCCATTAAATCTTTTTGTTGAATTAAAGCAGGGAGAAGGTATTGAAATACGAACAATGATATTTAATCCATTCTTACGGAATCATTGAAAAGAAAGAATTTTTAGATTCTTCACAAAGAAATGCCAATTATAGTTAGAATTTATTCAGGATAAGTTAAAAATTATTATTATGAATAAGTATCATTATTCTTCTAAAAAAACAATTTTGATGTTGATATTTCTCATATGACTAATAATGATCAATTTACTCACAATTCTCTTAAATATCCTAGCTTAATTGAAAATATGAATTTGGTTTTTAAATACCATTAGGTTTTTCCCATTTTGAAAATTCATAAGTCTAAATTCAAAATATTATTTCAGGTCATACCTGCAAAGGTGGGATATAATGGATAAGAGAAGAGCCAAAAATTAGATGCGAAAGTCTTAAAAAAAATAGATGAAATTCTTTACTTAGATATTATTAGTTGTGAAAAATTATTACAGATAGCGTAATTAAAATTCCATCACCATATTCATATTTTCCTTTATCATAAGAACTATTTCAAAGCAATTTGTGCTCGACCATTATAAAGTTAGATATATGAAGCTTCTATCAGCAGTTCTAAATTAAAAGTGATGAGAATAAACATCTAATTCTAGCCAGCTAACTAACCTTCAATATCTCATATATTGAATTTTTTTCTTTAATGCAAAGATCTTCAATAAGACAAACATGAATTGTGACTATATAGCTGAATTGTTAATTATTTTATTAAGACTTTAGCGAAAGTTTTAGCTTAAAAATTTTGAGAATAAACTAGGCACTCATTAATTTAATTCAACATCATTTCAGCCAGCTACATAAAGTCAAAATTAATAGCAGAAGACTTAAGAAGGATAATTTGCAATCAATATATTTAATAAATTAATACAGCTCTCTATTATCTTCAGATGGAATAATTGACATTGAAATCTTGTAACTTCAAACAAATTATAAATATACAGGATGATGGTTTGAAGGTAGCCATTTATCACACCTAAGCATAGAATGTATTGATACTTTTGTTATGTTAGAAATCTCATTTGACAGCTTGTAAATAATTTTTTGTAAAAACTCAGGGTAGTTAAAATTTAAGATAGAAATTTGTTATTTTTTGTTTAATTACTCAAACTTCTTTCAATTAAGAACTCATTATTTTGTGTATTGAATTTTTTTTCACACTCAACTATAAATCAGTAAATTTATATACCTTATTTACTTTTAGCTCATACATAATTTGGGTTGATCTCAATGGCTTTAATATATTAATAAATAGCTTCTTTATATTTACATAAGGATTGTAAAATATTAAAAAAAATAAATGGGTTTAAACAAGCTCCGAATTCAATCAAAAACTAATTAACCTTTGCTCGCTAAAGATGAATCATGATATGGAATATAGTTTAATGCTTAGTTCAAAATCTTAATAGTTTCGGCATGTTTATTCAGCATTCTTACAATTTTCTAATACTAAATGCTTCTAATGATTCACTTATATGAAAAATAAATTATTTAACTTTTTAAAATAATGAATTGATATGATTGGAATAACTAGAAAAAGATTGATCAGCCCATTTAATTGAATCATTATAATTACTAAGCATTTTTATTTTAAATTCTAATCGGAATCATAATTAAGCTAGGATATCAATTATATTGTGATTATTATAAATATAAAGAAGCTATTTAATTATTCGACTATGCATTATTAATTAATCCAAGACAATTCAGTTCATTATATGCAAAAGGTATTGACGTCATAAATAAATGTATTAGCTGGCTAATTACAACATAATTACCTTGCATATATTATAATTCGAATTTTTCTTGTTATTATATATTTAATCTTTTAATCCATTATTTGAATAGATTGATCATCTTGTCTAAAATTTTGCTTTGTTTCAAGTGCACAGTTATTTCATTTTGATCATAGTTGATAATCTCATTCAAAGCTATATTCATTTGGTTTGAATACAATGTTTATACTTTTTGAAAGACAATAAATAGATGATTCATTTAATTCTGTAATCCTCAATATTATTTCTTATATAAAATCCTCACTTATTATCTCAATTTAATAGAAAAATTTTAAAGATTTATTTTAATTCTTTTAATCCTTTTTATGAGCCACATGATCTCCATTTCACAGACATTAATGAAAGTAGATTCTATTAACTTTACAAGACTAATTGGTACAAGCTAATTGGAGATCATCATGTCCAGTTTAAAATTTAATCTCAACTTTATTATGTTTATTTCTAATTCTATTAAACTACTTTTAGTATAAATTAAATAAGGAAAAATTAGTTTAAACTGCCACATAGATTAAATATGCTAATATTTTTGAGTTCCTATTTTAGAAGAATGGGAAGGCTCTAATTAAATTATTCCCAATTTAATTAAAACATTCGGATGAAATTCTTTTTATATTTTTTTAGTTATTTTTCAACATTAATTGAAGAATAATGTACTAAAAAATGGTGTGATATGATATACCAATACTGATGAAGATTTAATAATTAAACAAACATTTGAAAAATATACAAAAAATCCTATTTTGAGAAAAACAATGACATTTTTGTTTAATTATTTGAGACATATAAAATGATGGCAAGAAGAAATCTGGATTAAGTTATATTTTGTTTGATCTTATCTTTCAATATAGCTTGAAGAAAAACCCAAAAATAGTTCATTAATAATATTTCTAAGTTTTGTACTAAAATTGTTCACCTTCTCATCCGGGTTGGTCTATTGAAGGACAAAATATGAAGCTTGATAAACTTTAAGTTCATGCAATTTATAGGAATTGTTAAGTTATATCTCATTTAAATTTAATGACAATTTAATTTATATTGCATTTTATAATCCGAATTAGCTAAGTGACATCAGAATTTATAACCAAGAGAAATAAATCGAGATTGAGTTTAGAAAAAAAATTGGATAAACATTAGGTATCTTTTAATTTCATCTTCCATAATTTTAATCATTAATTTTGAATAATAATTATAATTTCCAAAATTTTGTGAAAGCTTCTAAATTTTCAATATTAAAATCTACTTCATATTAAAAAAATTTAATTAAAAATTGATGATGCTATTATTGGTTTCACGAAGGATATGAAACATATAATAAATATTCAATTTTAATTAAGATCGTATTCATTTTCACAACAAATTTGATTTTTAAATGATGTTATCCCTTTGATATGTGGAAATTTTATTTTAAATTATTATTTTTTAATTAGATTTAAATAAGAATTTAAAATGATTTTTAAAATGTTCTATTAGGTTTTGCTACTTCAATAATGTATAATAAGAAGTTCAGAGATTTCTTAAAGATGCGTTTGTGGGCATGTTCAAAGTTAAAAAGAGTGCAAAAGCTCTGGGTTTTGCATCTGGTAGAGTGATTAATGTATTTTAAATCCCGGTCAATAATACAATACAGAGATTAATAATTAGAATCCATGCAAAAGCTATGCTTAGGAAGATTGTCGAGAATAAAGGTAATGTGGTTTTTATTTTGGGGAATGCATAGATTTTGTAGACTGCAGCAATTTCGATAAAGATAATTGCTAAGAATCGTCCTACAAATGTGTGTCTGATGGTTCAATGTGTGTGGAAATGCAAGACTGTAGTGATTATAAAACAGAGATGGCATGTGCCAATAAAAATTAGCACGGTAAGTACTGTGTTTGGATTGGAGGATCAGAGAAAAAATGTAAAAATGTCACAATTTGTGAAGAAATGCCTCTATATTTAATTGATCATTAAGCATGTTAATCAGGTCTTGACGGATGTACAATAAGTGAGAAGGGTTATGGATGTATAGAGTAGATGGAGTCTTGTACATAATATATTAATAACTTTTAATGCTTTGAAATTAAATCAAAAAAATATAATTGTTTTTGGGATTCAAAAAATAATTATTGTGTTGAAAAGACGTGTGAAAATCTACCATTTTCTTAGGATTATGAATGTTAGTTACATTTAAGTGAATGTACAACTAATGGAGTTCATTGTGTAGTAAAGAAATAGTGTAGTGATGCTTAGAATAAATTTGGTTGTGTAACTGATGCATAGGGTAAAAAATGCGAATATCAATAAAATCAATGTAAAATCAAGAGTTGCAGCACTGCTCCATAGTCGCTTACTAATTATCAATAATGTTAAGATTATGACAATCTATTAGATTGTGTTACTTCAGAAAACAAAGGATGTAAAATTAGACCACAGACATGTGATGGTTATTTTTATGAGACAGATTGCAATTCAATTGAATAATAAGATTGTGTGTGGTATAAAGAAAAATGCGAATAAAGATAATGTTATCATGCTCCAGTTCATTATACTCATATGGATTGTAAGCAGTATGGGGATTGTATTGGGAGATTAAATGGAGGGTGTTAGACGACACCTTAATTATGTGAAGAGATATTGCAAGAATAGTTTTGTGAATTAAACTATAATAAAAAAAGATGTATTTGGCTTGGAGGTAATTGCGAATTATTAGAATGTAAGAAATTGAGATTGCCAAACTACAAAAATCATAAAATATGCTCAAAGGCAAGTTAATATTGTACCTTTAATTTAGACTCATTAGGTTGCACAGATTATTTATGTGAAAATGTTTTAGAGATAGAATATTGCACAATTGATTCAACTGGTACAGTCTGCACAATGAATTAAGGTTGCATAGAGAAGAAATGCAAAACTGCTCCTCCATCCTATGATACTAATTCAAAATGTGAAGGATGGATGCCATAATGTACAGTTAATGTGTAAATTTTATCAAATTAAAAAATCTTGATTGGTTGCCTGGATAAAAAGACCACTTGTGCACTTGCTGTGTAAGATCAATGCTACACAACACTCTCAGGATTTTTATGTAAATGGGATGGAAATAGTTAGAAATGTTAAGATTAGCTTTGTACTGATGCAAATCCTGGATTGTACTTAAAAAATGAGGATTGAAATTCATTTAAGGCATTATAGGGGCCTTGCATTATTAGCCCTTCTGGAGTTGGATGTTAATAATGGCCAACTGATTGTGCTGAAATGTTAAGTCAATAACAGTGTTAATTGAATCTATAGGATAAAACTAAGTGTTTTTGGACTGGTTCCTATTGTAAGAAATAACAATGTTCAAATGCTCCTAGATTGAATTACACCAATAATGTTGAGTGTAACAGCTGGTTTAATAATTGCATCTATAATCATATTCTGGGTGGATGCAAAGACCGAATCACTCCGGTTGCTTGTACATCTTCTCCAAATATTAGTATGTATGACAATCATCATGAATGTAATGCATGGAATCCTAAATGTACTGTAGTTTCCACTTTTATTGCTGAAGGATGTGAATTAAAAAAATTAACTTGTGAGGAGTTTATCAGGCAAAGGAATTGTAAGACTACTTTAAATGGTTAATTTTGTTATTGGGATGATAAGGAATAAAAGTGTATGAATGAGGATTAAGATAATGATGGAGTTGCTGATTGTCATAAAAGAATTTATGGAGAAATAACTCACTAGGATTGTGAAGGCTTTTTGTCTAAATGTACAGTAAATGATATTGTTAAAACTTGTTAAAATCTTTCATACTATTGTGATTATCAATATAAGCAATAATGCGAAATCACTAGTTAATACTAACCTTGCAAATGGGATGATTTGAATTAAAAATGTAAGGATAGAGTTTGTGCTGACAATACTGCTGCTTAAACTGAGGCTGAATGTTTAATGTTCAGGAGGTTTAACTAATGTCAATTGAAAATTAAGTCTAATGGAACTTATGGGCCAGGTTGTGAAAATAGACCCTCATAATGTGAGAGTGTTACAGATGCTGTGATATGTAAATTAACTTTAACAACTTAGAATCAAAAATGTTATTTTTATAATTCTAGATGTTAAGTAGTAGGAAATAAACAATGTGAAGTAATTACAGATAGTAAAAGTAATGATCTTTGTTAATTATATAATAACTATTGTGTTCTTCAATAAAGTGGATAAGGATGCTATTCTATTTATTCATGTTATGATTTATCAAATTAGATTTGCAACAACGTCATCTTTCGAGAAAATTATAAATGCAGATTTTCTGACATTTGTCGTTTTGATCATAGCTGTTCATATAAATATCTTTCCTATAGTACATGTGATGGTTAGAAAACATAGTTTGGATAATTATGTTACTATTACTATTCATGTTCTACTTGCACTAAATAATGCTTAGTAT